AAATGCCAAGCTACCCCCACAGGCAGGAGCTCCAGGGGCAGGAGCCCCATGGGCACGGGCAGTGGGTCTGTCACACACTGGGGCAGCTCTGGCTGCGCAGCGTGTCCCAGAGCAGAGGAGGTGGAGCACGGGTGAGCACAGCTGGGGCAGGTCAGGGCTACAACACGGCAGCAGCAGCAGCTCTGCCGAGGGGCAGGACTTGCAGGCGCCCTGTGCTCAGGAGGATCTGCTGGACAGCAGGGCCAGCAGGGAATGGGGAATCTGGCACGAGGGAGGCTGTGAACCCCTCACGGGGCAGGCCAGGCGGCAGGGGCAGGTGGTGGCCAGCACACCGGCAGCAGCTCGAGGCCAGGGCTCGCGGCACCAGCTCATGGCTGCGGCGCCCAGGCCAGAGCTGGCAGGGAGCCTGGTGCTGGGGGCAGCAGGGGAGCCCCTCCGCACCGCACGAGGCTGCCTCTTACCCCGTGTCCTTGCCCCTGCTGCCATCACCCTGCACCACCCGGGCAGGTGGATTCCCACCTGCCCCAGTGCTGGGACCCCCTCCCTCCTCCGCATCCCCACACCTCAGCGCTGATGCCCTTGGGGCAGCACGAGGAGGCAGGAGAGGGCCTTGCACCCAGGCCCGTGCCCGACCCTACCTCTGCCTGCCACGCCAGGGTGGAGGCGGAGAGCGCCGAGGTCCGCCCGGCTCCCAGCACCGCTATCGTTTCACCGTCATCATCCACCACCTTGAAATCCAGGTCCTCGTTGTACTTCCTCCTCTTCACCTGGCGACCCGAGCGGCGTTTCTGTGTGCCGGACAAGAAGGGCTCGCTGGGCATACGGCGGCCAACGCGCAGCACGGGCACCGGGCATGGGGGCAGCGCCCCGTCCCGGCATTCCAGTGGGACGGGGGTGGCAGCAGGAACAGGCAGCCTGGTGGCCGCCAGCCTCGCCGCAGCTGGGTGTCTGCAGCCGTCCCCATGAGCACTGTCCCACCAGGGCCTGCCAGCCTACTGCCCAGCCGACGCCACGCTGGAGAAGGGAAGGCAGGGCCGGGAGGGCACAGGCACCTCCCACTCAAGCACAGGGCACAGCCTTCTCCGGAACGGCGCCAGCGGCAGGGCCGAGTGAGCGGCTGCACATGTGGCTGCGCTCCCCGTTCGTGGGGCCGAGCAAGCGGCTGCCCTCACGGCTGTGCTCCCCGTTCAGGGGGCCCAATGAGTGGCTGCACATGCAGCCGCGCTCCCTGTTTGCGGTGCTGAGTGAGCAGCTGCGCTCCCTGTTCGCGGGGCCCAGTGAGCAGCTGCACATGTGGCTGCGCTCCCTGTTCATGGGGCCCAGCGAGCGGCTGCCCACGCAGCCGCGATCCCCGTTCACCGGGGCCCAGCGAGCGGCTGCCCACGCGGCTGCGCTTCCCACTCACGAGGCTGCACCTGGGTCCCGGCGCGGGCGTCACGCACCCACCTGGCTGTCCGCTGACTCGGCGGACTCCTCCGGGCTCTGCGCCGACAGGCTCAGGTGATCCTGGTCCAGCTCCAAGCTCTCCATGGGGATCTCATTTTTCCTCTTGCCTTTCTTCTTCTTCTCCACGGGTGTGGGCCCCTGCTCCTTGCTGCCGGACAGACAGACAGTCACCCCCTGGGGAGCGAGGCTGCAGCCAGGCTCTCCAGCACGGGGCTTTCCTCTGGACTCGTCTTTCCCTCGTGTCACCCAGAGGCAGCAGGAGGCTCTCAGGGTCCCCCTGGCACTGCGCACAGGCAGCCAGTGCCAGAAGGTGTCTGCTCCCTGCTCCTCCACCCCATCAGCAGTTTCCCCCTCCCACTCCAGGACACTGGAAAAGGTCCAAGTGCCCCTTGGGCCATGGGGCAGCAGGGTCTGGGGTGCTCCTGGGGGAACAGGCCTACAGGGCCAGGCTGGCGGGCTGGGCCAGCGGGGCAGGGAGCCGGGGCTGGAGCGGCTCAGGCTGCAGGAGCAGCCCTGGAGACCCACAGGGGACGCTCTGCTGGGCAGGGGGGACACATGCCGTGGCCCCCTTCCTCCTGCGTTTCAACTTGTACCCATTACTCCTTGTCCTGTCGCTGGCCACAACTGAGAAGAGTTTGGCCCCATCCTCCCTACATCCTCCCCTCAGGTGCTTGTACGTGTTGATCAGATCCCTCTCACTCTTCTCTTCTCCAGACTAAACAGGCCCTGCTCGCTCAGTCTTTCCTCACACGATGGCTGCTCCAGTCCCTTCATCATCTTTGTGGCTCTGCACTGGCCCCTCTCTAGCAGCTTCACGTCCCTCTTGTGCTGGGGAGCCCAGAACTGCCCCCAATGCTCCAGGTGCCTCCCCAGAGCTGAGCAGAGGGGCAGGATCCCTCCCTCGCCTGCTGGTAGCGCACACCTTGCCCCAGGCCTCAGGACCGAGGCGCTGAGCCCTGCGGTTCCACAGAGGAGGGACATGACGGTCCCCGCAGGAGGTCAGGGGCTCCCAAGGACATGGGGAGGCTGCAGCTGCGGCACAGTGGGCAGTTGCTCTCGGTGTTCGAGCCCCAGTCCATCATTTGCCAGGTAGAAAATTCAGGCCGTTCTCCTGGGCAATCCCAGCTCCTTCCCACAGACACGAAGCACATGACGACAGGGCCTGGCATGAACAGCTGAAAACCTGCAGTTCAGGCCAGAAATGACCTGGCCGTGCACCTGCAATTCATCAGAAGCCCTGAGAACAAACCACTTCCAGAGGAGCAGTAACTCCCCAGATATTGATTTGCAAGTCACGCTTAACAACTGCTCCATTTGTGAAGTGCTAGTTGGCTGTGATTAGAAATAATTTGGAAGAAATTATGCCACTATCAGCTGCCGCTCGGGCAGTGCTGCAATGGCTTTGCTTGCCCGAGCACCGAGATCCCCAGGCTAAGGAGAAGGGACAGTGGCCAGCGTGGCCACCTCCAGGCTAAGGAGAAGTGCCCTTCCTGGGCATGCAGGCACAGTGAGTCCGGAGGGCTCCGACAGGGATCCAGCAGGATCTGGCAGGGATCCATCCGAGGACCTGGCCGGGACCAGGCCCTCCCATCCCTCTGCCCAGCAGAGATCTCAGCAAGACCTGAGACGCTCCAGCTGGCACCACTTCCACAGGAGTTTCCTCAAGGAACTCTAAGAAATTGGTATTCTCCAGTAAAGAAAGTTTTCCCAAGGATTCCCAGCTGCATCCTGTACCAAGCTCACTTACTGCAGAGATAGGTGCAGCGCATGGGTTGTCACAGCACACGAGGAGGTGTAACCCAAGCAAACAGGCCAGCTTGGTACAGAACTTTCCCAGAACATTTATTCTTGCCAGGCCACAGAGCAAAGCAAGCTCTGTGGGACACTGTGCCGGCGCCGCGGGACCCACGCGCACAGAGGGTGCCCGGGCCAGGCAGCGTTGCGCACACCCTCGCCCTGGCCTCGCGGGAGGTACCGCAGGCCCTGCAGCACCCAGCACACGGCTGAACTCAGGAGAGCCCGAAGCCACCCTGCTTGCCACGGCAGTGCGTGCGGCCCAGGACAGGGCCCCGCTGCCGTGGAGTTGTGCAGGGCTCCGTGCCAGGGAGCGCTTGCCCCGCGCGTCCCTCCCATGGGCACGTCCCTCCTGCATACCCTGCCCCTGGGAGCTGCACAAGAGCAGCTCCCCGCAGGCAGGCACCCAACCAGCCCTGCCGCGCAACGGGACACGGCCCTGCGGCACTCACGCAAGCGGACACGACCCCAGACCGCCCACACGAGAAGACGAGGCCCACGGCACCCACCCAAGGGGACGAGGCTGCAGAGCACCCACACGAAGGGATGAGGCCCCAGACCACCCATGCAAGGGGACGAGGCCCCAGAGCACCCACGTGAGGGGACACGGCTCTGCGGCACCCACGCGAGGGGACGAGGCCCCAGAGCACCCACCTGTTCTTCCTGGGCCTTGCCCGCGGGGCAGGCTCAGTGCTGCCCTTCTTCTCTTTAGGTTCCTTGGGGGTTTTGGGTTCCCGCGGCTTCCTGGGCTTCTTGGCCACCTCCTTCTGCTTGGGCTCCTTTGGCTTCTTGGGCTCCTTGGCCTTTTTAGGCTCTTTTGGTTCTTTCGGCTCTCTCCTCCTCTTTGGTTTCACCTCCTTCTCCACGGCGGCTTGCTCTCCCACACTGTGCTCTGCCACCTCCTTTTTCTTGCGTTTCTTCTTGACGCCGGTGCCGCCGCCGTCCTGCGCGCCGCTGGGGGCCACGGGCCGCCTGTGCGCGACGC